GATGACGGCAGGGTTGTCGGTGGAGACACGACCGCTGGATGACACCGGGAGCACTGGCCTCTGGCTGCGACTAGTGCTGCCTCGACCCCTTCCTCTGCTGCCACGTCTGCTCGCTCCTGAAACATTGCCTCCTCTGCCACTCCTCTGCGTGTTGTCTGACATACTCTTTAATTCAATAAGCACCCCAAAAATAAAACCGGATTTAACTCTTTGAACGTACAATAGTGGTTGTGAAGCAGAAAGTCAGTTTATTGTACACAATCGGTCAATTGCAGCTTGCCGTTGGCTGGAAACTGTACGTTTAGGTCACTGGAATGCACTAATCACCCAAAAAATATTACCGCCACCCGGCGTGTATATGGATTTAACTCTTTGAACGTACAATAGTGGTTGTGAAGCAGAAAGTCAGTTTATTGTACACAATCGGTCAATTGCAGCTTGCCGTTGGCTGGAAACTGTACGTTTAGGTCACTGGAATGCACTAATCACCCAAAAAATATTACCGCCAGCCGGCGTGTAAATGGATTTAACTCTTTGAACGTACAATAGTGGTTGTGAAGCAGAAAGTCAGTTTATTGTACACAATCGGTCAATTGCAGCTTGCCGTTGGCTGGAAACTGTACGTTTAGGTCACTGGAATGCACTAATCACCCAAAAAATATTACCGCCAGCCGGCGTGTAAATGGATTTAACTCTTTGAACGTACAATAGTGGTTGTGAAGCAGAAAGTCAGTTTATTTTGCACAATCGGCAAACTGCAGCACCAACTGTGCATGACAGCCACCAAAAAAAAAAAGGGTGTATGTCACTTTAAATTTTCGATTCTTTGATAGCTGTGGCCCTAAGTAACGATTCTGTGTCCCTGAGTAACGATTCTGTGTCCCTGAGTAACGATTCTGTGTCCTGAGTAACGATTCTGTGTCCCTGAGTAACGATTCTGTGGCCCTAAAGTCTCTGTGGCCCTAACTCTGTCCCTTATTACACACAGGTCTGTCTCTCTTGAATGATCGGAGGCTAATGGAGAATTCTAAGATGGCTGCGATTTATAGCTCCACCATTACACAGTGCTGGCTGGCTGCTGATTGGCTAATGCGATCACATGTCATGAATGCATTATGGGTCAGCGCGCCTTGTCTGCGCGCCTTCCCAGAGATCCCCGCCCCATCTTCTCTGTCCATTTTCTCCGTCGCCACACATGTCGCCGCCATTTTTGGGAAAATTCGATTCGTGCATCCGAAGTTTGCTAATCTTCGGATTCGTCGCGAATAGAATTTTTCCAAATCTTCGGAACGAATTCCACTTCGTCATGTTCGATTCGCTCATCTCTAGTGGCTATGTAACTCTAAAGATAACCTCCGGATATTTGGGATGGCACTACTGAGAAAAGGGTCCTGTTGTAAGATGCCCCAATATTTTTAAAAAACATTTCTTATCTGGAAGGCCTTGGGGTTAAATTGACGGGAATGACCAAGGAATATTGTGCTCTATATTTTGTGTATGCCTCTTCAATGACGGTCGAAGAGTACCCTTTCTCTGTAAATTTTCTTCTAAGGGTGTTGCTCTGCACATCGTAATCCTCTAGGCGTGAGCAGGTTCTTTTCAGCCTGCAAAATTGGCCTAAGGGCACATTTTTTATATATCATTGACAGTATTATTACTACGATTTTTAGATTTATTTCTATTCATTTACATTTGCAAATGATGCATTCATGTATATATAAATTTTTTATTAACTTTTATATATATATATATATATATATATTATATATATATAATATACACACATACACACACACACACACACACACACACACACGTTTTATAGAAATTACCAAATATTGCACTTTAAATAACCCCCTCCAACTCCTCGCCCTATAACAAGTAGAGGAGGTGGAGCTCTACTCCCAAGCCATCTAGCCATGGTTATTTACCGCTTGACCTACATACAGGCTGGTCAGTAGCTCTGAGGAAAGGGATTCGCCCCCGAAACGCATCAAGGAATTTGACCGCACTGACAGTTGGAACACCTTGCTTGCCGTTGTGGCCATCGTGATTATGCAAATACTTTTTAGATACATGCTTCGTCTGAGTATGTTTTTGCCTTTTATACTTTTCAATAAACCTTGGATAAACTTGGTCAAGAAGTTCATTACTGGTAACTGGCTCTTAAGCTGGCAAATGATCACAGACGCTTGCCATTTTTCCCAAACTGTAAACAACTTGCGTTTGGGTTAAATGGAATACTATCTAGAAGCTACTGTAACCATTAGGGAATATGGACTACGTGTCCCCATGATTTGTTCAACCCTATATATTTTAGAAAGAAAAAGTATTTATTTATTATCCTAGGATATCTACCTCTGCACACCATTATCTATCAGTTTTCAGTTCACTTAAAAAGGATACTGTTACTAGGCAAGGTGTCATGCAGAAGTGGGGTCTTTATTCCCATGATAGCTGGGCAATCAAGCTACAATTGTAATTTTGTTCACTCCAAAAATCACTAAGAACAATACCTCACCTGAATATACTTTCTTTGCTGGCTTTTATCTTTACTGGTTTAACTGATCTGCATACTTGCTCTTGGTCAGTGACTCATTGAATTAAAGTAAGACACAGCCAGGTTTTTAGATCAATGTTGGCAACATAGGTTAACTTTGAAGTGACTTTGGATCCTTTTGGTTAAGTGACAAAGAACTGTTCCTGAAAAGAGGACACTAAGGGGGAATTCAATAAAGTTGTAATGTTAGTATTCTGGTAGTAGTCTCCTTATGAACGACCTATGTCCAATTCAGGCAAGCATTTGTGCCAGTGTCGATAATATCACTGACATGTGCACCAAGTTCAGATATTTAGCTGTCATGTATGTGACAGTTTCCCGCATGATGCTGTATCTCGGCCCCATTTGGCTGTTCAGATATTCTGGACATATTGGTGATGTCATTACTCAAATAAGGCATTGCCCATACTTGTGTCACTATGGGCAGAACCTGATGAGGAACTGAAAGACTAGTTCCCTATAATGTCCACCTACCTTTTGATTGACATCACATAGCAGTGGAAGTACAGGACTGAATAGCCCCTATGAATCTACCCATTGCCCTGTACTGTCAGTCAACTTCAAAGCAGACCTAATGAAGAACAAGACTGTCAGTTCCCCATCAGGCTCTGCCTATCCCCTACTTCTACAAAACTACTTGGCCATGCATCTGTCAGTGTGATGGCCACAATGGCCATAAAGTAGGGAGCACACTGAAGAAGCAGTGTCTGCAGACACTGACATATTCATGAACCTTTATGAATCCCCAGTAATCGTAAAAGAAGTCAGTGTTGGTATTTTATCAGGGATATGGCTTTCAATATAACAGCTGTTTTGAAACTTTGCATCATATTTACTCTTTTATACACTGCTCAAGAAAAATTAAAGCAACCCTTTTTAATCAGAGTATAGCATCAAGTCAATTAAATGCCTGGGATATTGATCTGGTCAGTTATTTAACTACTTGCTACTTAGCAGAGGGGTTTGTTAATCAGTTTCAGCTGCTTTGGTGTTAATGAATTAACAACAGGTACACTATATGGGCATCACTGAGATGACCCCAAAACACAAATGGTTTTACAAGTGGAGGCCACTGACGTTTTTTCCCTACTCATCTTTTCTGACTGCTTTTCACTAGTTTTGCATTTGGCTAGGGTCAGTGTTACTACTGGTAGCATGAGGTGATACCTGGACCCTACAGAGGTTGCACAGGCAGTCCAACTCCTCCAGGATGGCACACCAATACGTGCCATTGCCAGAAGGTTTTCTGTGTCTCCCAGCACAGTCTCAAGAGCATGGAAGAGATAGCAGGAGACAAGCAGTTACTCTAGGGGAGCTGAACAGGGCCATAGAAGGTCCTTAACCCATCAGCAGGACCTGTATCTGCACTTTATGCAAGGAGGAACAGGATGAGTACTGCCAGAGCCCTCCAAAATGTCCTCAGCAGGCCACTGGTGTGAATGTCTCTGACCAAACAATCAGAAACAGATTTCATGAGGGTGGCCTGAGGGCCCAACATCCTCTAGTGGGCCCTGTGCTCACTGCCCGGCATTTGCCATTTAACACCAGAACTGGCAGGTCCACCACCGGCGCCCTGTGTTCTTCACAGATGAGAGCAGGTTCACTCTGAGCACATGTGACATACATGAAAGGGTCTGGAGAAGCCATGGAGAACGTTATGCTGCTTGTAATATCATTCAGCATGACTGTTTTTGTGGTGGGTCAGTGATGGTCTGGGGGGGCATATTCATGGAGAGACCATTAGGTACCAGGATGAAATCCTTGGACCCATTGTCAGACCCTACGCTGGTGCAGTGGGTCCTGGGTTCCTCCTGGTGCTCGACAATTCCTGGCCTCATGTGGCAAAAGCATGCAGGCAGTTTTTGGAGGATGAAGGAATTGATACCATTGAATGGCCCCCACGCTCGCCTGACCTAAATCCAATAGAACACCTCTGGGATATCATGTATTGGTCCATCTGACGATGCCAGGTTGCACCTCAGACCTCAGGAACTCAGTAATGCTCTGATCCAGATCCAGATCCGGGAGGCAATACCCCAGGACACCATCCATCGTCTCATTAGGAGCATGCCATTGTCAGGCATGCATACAAGCACATGGGGGCAATACAAACTACTGAGTACTATTTTGAGTTGCTGCAAAGACATTTCAGCAAAATGGGCTAGCCTGCTGCATAATTGTTTCACTTTGTTTTTCAGGGTGTCTTTGAATTCAGTCCTCTGTAGGTTGCTAATTTTCATTTCTATCAAATGATGGGGCATCCTTATGTTCCTAACACATTACCCAGTCCATATAAGTATAGATATCCAGCATGATATTTTTCCCCATTGAGATCTGATAGGTTATCAAAGTGTATCTTTTTTTTTGAGCAGTGTATATTTGAAATGATAGTTTCCAAAAGACAGTGACAGACAATTACTTTCTATACATATCTTTTTACCTGGATACAGCTGCTGCAAGAATCCCAATGCTAGTCTCGGCAGGAGGCATTGAAGAATGGCCAGGCGGTTGGTTTACAGTCAGGTTGAGTGTGATGGATCCTTTTTCAGTGGTGCCAACTCTGAAAACAGAGCAATGTTGTATGTGCTTTTAGATCACAATAACATTTGTGTCACTGTGAATGAAAAAAGGCAAAATTCATGAATAAAACTGCTATAAGATTTGACTCTTCATACTTACTCTCATGCAGAATTTAATAGTTTCACAATGCCAACTTGGTCAGTTACTAAAGTAAGGGAGCCACAGGCAGCTTACTAGCAATCAGTGACGCATCTCCACCCAGCCCATTCTTTTAGTAGGTTGGCAGGCATCTTACATTGTAATTAAGGAGATTCATCACTTGAGGACGTGATTGGATTTACATTGTGGATTATTTTTTTGTTTATAAATAGGGATTCCTTTATTTTTGTAAATGTATAGGGGTACTATGCACCCATTACTCAGCAACGTGTGGGCAGTATTTGGGGGTCCCTTTATTTTTAAAGTGAGCTTCCAGATCCCAATAAGCCCCCCCGCCCACAAACCAGTACACACAACCATGTTTGTGGGGAAGAGGCCCTTGTCCTCATCCACATAGAGCAGGAGTACAGGAGTCCCCCTCCCCATATTGAGGACATGTGACCTGATCTGGTATGGTTAGGGGGGCATGATCGCCCTCCCCTTTCCTGGCCATCCAGACTACATGCTAGGATGAAGGTTTGGTATGAATTTTGGAGGTGAGGGAGGCCACAGTTTTTTTTTCTTTTTTATTATGTTCTTTTAGATTACTTTAAGGCGCCCACATGGCCAGGGACAAGATTTATGAAGTGCATTATGAGTTTGGCTGCAAATTTTTTACTATGATTTAACTTCCCAATGGACAACAATTAAGCAGTTAGTTAAAATAACATTATCAGCAAGATGGAAAGAATAATTTGTGTACTATAGCTTTCAAAGTGTTAAGATCCCAGATCCAAATGATTACTGAACATTAAAAAATTTCATGAAAATATCATTAAAAAACTATAGATTATACTGCGGATTACAGGAAAAATAGACACTAGGCACAAAAAGAACCTGAAGGCTGGCTCCTATGGTCTAGAACACCTACTTAAACAATTGTGCTCAGCTAACAAGTAACACCATGAACCAAAAAAGGGCATTAATTAGCATAAGGGAAGTGTATTTCAATGACACAACTAAAGGGATTTTATGGTGAGTTTTTTCTAACATCTATTGAAGGACACTGCACATTTGCATGAACCATAGAATGTCACAGAACAGTTGTTAAAAAAAGAGAAAAAAAAAAAAGAAGAAGAGGCCCGCAGCAAATACAGGTGAACCAGAACTTAAAAAAATAAACTAGGATCTTAAAAGAGAAAAAACCCATAAAACCTTGTGACTAAAACTAGCATCTGCTGATATTAACACATTTGCTTTGCAAAACTTGGCAAGTGCTGGCTAAAGCCCATGTTGCAGCTTTGCAAACAGCAGATCCCTGATGGTGAAAAAAAACAAGAAGCACTCACTGTCCTAGCAAAGTGGGCCTCAACATGGAAAGAAATTACTTTACTATTCAATGCATATACAGTATCTGATCATTGAATTGCTGAATTCACCACAGAAAGGAGGAACTAGACGGAGAACCCTCTCAGGGGCCTCAGGAATGACAACTAAATCAGAATTCAGAAAAGAAGCTGTAACATTTAAATCAACCCCCCCCAATATATAGCAAAATAATGTGAAATCTTTTTAGGATGAGTTGGAGCTGGGTACAATGAAGGCAAGACAATATCTTCATTTAGATAAATAGAGGAGACTTCTTTGGGTAAAAAAAGCATCTCTGCCTAGCAACTATCTTATCCTTGTGGGTTGCTTAAAAAAGGATTGCATGACAACACAGTCAGCTCAAAAACCCACCGTACTGATGTCCTCACAACAAGAAAGGCTAACTTTTGGAAAAGAGACAACATTGAACCTAATATGCTCAAAAGGGAGGTTTATGAAGAGCTGACAAAACCAGGTTCAAATGAAATGGTTAAAGGGGTGTTCCAATAGGGGAAGCTACATGTGAGTGAACCCCTGTACATAGGTTCAGATCAATAATGGACTTTCAAAAAGCATGGTCAAAGCTGCCGCTTAATACTTAATGGTGTTCACAGCCAATTTTGGGTCTACATGCAATGAAATATTAAAATTAGTGCCTGAAAAACAAAGTGCAATATCGGACCTGGGGACATGTTTGACCAATCTAGTAAATACCAGTGTGTCGGTGAGCAGTCCAACTAGGTCAGCATACCAAGCCTTTCTGTGTGAGCATGAAACTTCTAAGATTTGCACCAAGAAAAATGCTTTACAGGTCCAACAACACAGCTTGGAAGAAGAAAGTACAGCGAGGTGTTTTGGTAAAGATCACAATTTTCCTGGCTGCAAACTGTTCCACTTTCTTGCTGAGATGAAGCACCATTAAGTCTACGTCCAACATCCCCCAATGAAGACAGAGGGCCTAGGACATCTGCTGACAGAGGGACAATTCTGCAGGATTCTAAGCATTGATGGCCCTAGCACCATGCTGTTTTGTTACATTGCACTGCAGTTTTATACTCTTGATAAATTGTTTTAAAGTGGAAGTAAACCTTGTTTTTTATGTTTTACCTACAGGTAAGCCTTTAAATAAGGCTTACCTGTAGCTACTGTAAATATCTCCTAAACATGCACCGTTTAGGAGATAATTTACTGTGGCAGTGCTGGTGATGTCTCCAGCACCGGCGTGCCGTTCATTGAGAGAACAGCGCGGAGGCCGAATCTCCCACACACATGTGCAGGAGTGACGTCATCAGCGGCTTGGTCAGTTAAACGACCGCAGCCCACACACCCGGAAGGGAGACTGGGTGAAGATGGAAGCCTCGGAGAGCCGTGACAGACCTCAGCTGGAGGGCTTCATTTTCAGGTAAGTCATTCATACTTTCACATAATGCTCTTATCTTGCATGGAGAAGTTTTTCTTATATGTGAATAACTTTAAAAACTTTTGTGTACCATTGGAATAAGAGCTGAGAAAGTTTATTTCTGTTTAGAGACCAAAGTGAAAGGCTGTCCCTTTTCATTACGGGATAAGATCACCTTTTAACAAAAATAATAAATGCACATTTTTTTTGCAGGTAAAAAAAAAAATGCATTTACTATTTATTGTTTTGGGAACCTGGAAAGCATTGCACCAGTGATCAGCAGATTGCTGATGCCATGCAGGATTCCTGCAGAATGTCAGTGTATCTGTGCGTTCGTACCTTGTATGGGCAAGCAGATACATATTGACATGGAAGAATCAGTGAACTACCACAGCACTCAACAGCGCCTTGGTAGTTAATTGAGAACTACGAGCCAACAGCCGCAAAGGCTGTCAGAACATGTAGTTTTCCCATTCACAGAATACTGTAAATGAGTGATGTGGTAGAGCGGGCAGAGCCCCACACAGCCACATTTTTTTAAAAACTGTGACAGCTAGCAGGGGGAGACGATCCCCTGCTAGCTGTCACAACGGGGGATTACAAAATGTGATCCTTTAAGTGAAGATAAAAATCCATCCATAGAGAAACGGTCTATGGAAGGATCCACATTTGGCTCAGCAAAGGTCAGCATCTCTAAATCTAAATTTAGAAGGTAATTCAGGGGATGGAAAGCTTAAGGCGCTCTTTGCAGCCCCTCTGGTCTGGCTGTGTCACAAGCTGAATACAGTGCTACAAAAGCTTTCCATAGTGGTAGAAAAGTCTTCTACCACAAGGTATTTCAAAGCTGGGTGGCAAAATGAATGCCTCAGAGGCAACTGCACAAGGGGGTAGCTCAGATGAGAACTTACAGGTGTTATATAATGAGCACATGGAAGCATTGTCAAAACTTTCACTTTCAGGCAGTGCATGCAGTAAACAAAGACTGCATAGGCTGTTGTCATTGGTCACCTACCATCTGGTCCTCTGCCTTGTGTCAGCTATTGCCAGGTTACAAGCACAATACAACAGTGGCGGGGAAGATAGGATAGACCACCACTCCTATGTGCCCCATGGCTCCACACCTGGGTCCCCAAGTGGGATACTCATACGTGGGTGACATATCAGGCCCCATGAGTTTGACCAAAATAGCATCAAGTAATAACACTCAGAGATTCCAAAGAGAATGCTGTTGCCACACCATAGAGGCTCCTTCCTGTCACAGCACCTGGGTAGCATGCAACCTGCACATTTTGAGTGAAGCAAGTCTGCAGAAAAACAAATAAATGAAAAGCTTGAACATGGAAAAACATGGAAAAAAGCCACAGTGAATGTAAAGATTGGTAGTAACATATGGCCTGACAAATGCAGCATAGCCCTGTGCTGATATGCGAATCCATGTGTATCTCTGTAGGGATGTGGCCTATGTAGGGCTGTCCCAGTGAGATCACTTATACATCAAGTAATTGCGAAAGCCTGCGCATGAAGACTGACTGGAAAGCCTACCAGAATTTAACATATCCTGTCTGAATCTACAAACAGCTGTTGATTAAAAATAAAATCCCTTACAATCAGATCTCAAGCCAGTAGAGTTGGGAGAGATGTGCTACCTTCTTCAGGACACCAAGCCTAACTGAGTAAATGGTTTGAGGGGTTATAGCTTTTAAGAGCTAGCCTTCGGTTTTTTTTTGTGCCTTGTGTCTCGTCTTCTTCTAGGCGGCAGTATAACCAATAGTTCATGAATATGAAATACTGTGCGCCTCAATGGACAATCGAAAAATCTAACTGCATCTGCACATATATGCACCCATTAGTTTAAATGATCCCCATACAATCATGAATAAACCTGTAAAATACTGAGATGCCAGGGCAGTGGAGAAAGCTTATTGAGGTAGACTTGGCCAGGTTTGGAGTTCTTCATGAGACTTCATCTTTCTGTAGACATATGGTCATAAAGAGTGCTCTGTTTATATGTTTTTTTTGTTAAATAACCTTTTATAACATACAAAGCCACTGGTCTCTTCACTCCTTGGATAACACCATCTAAGACTGCTAACCCTTCATCCACTACAAATACAAGTTTCACTCCAAGAGACTG